AGTGCACGCACGTGAACAGCTAGCTACGTACAGTACGTCGTACCCGTACAGCAGTGCGGCAACTTCGTTCCCCACGTACGCTATTCTGTATTATATATATGCAATGAAAATCACTGGGTACAATCACGCCCTGCATGCGTAAAACTAGACTTGGTTTCAAGTCTGTGATCGTGGGTTTTTCTCCATAACCGTATCGTAAATAGCGCCCTTTTTTGGCTTATGGAGCGAATATTGAATGATAGCACAGTGGTACTGTATTAAGTTAACTTTTGCAAAACATTGCGCGGCGCAACCACGATCTCAGACTTGAAATCAAGTCTAGAGTGAGGCTGGTTTCTGTCAATCGAGTCTAACGCGGATGTGTACATACAAGAATGTACATGTACATATATGCGAATTCGCCGCGTGTGGCGACTAAATTTTGTCAACCACTGGTCGATTTTGCCTGGTACCCAATATGTATTTCGAGCATAGGTTACCATGGAAAATCGACTAGTGGTTGTCAAATAGTCAGTCGCGGCCCGCCGCTCGAACGTGGTGGTAAGAAACACCTCCACGATCGCAATGCTTTTGACGGCGGTCTTCATAGTCTTCTTTTAATTAAATAAAAGGTTTTTATTTATATTTTATTTCATTTATCATTTTTATATCCATTTACATGTAATACTTCATAAACTGTTCACTTGTAGATGTAACAATTACATAAATACAATTGTCAATTATATTTATAAAAATCGCATTTCAATGAAGTATAAGCGTAGAGTCGTATTCACGGCTCAAATTCGTACATGCTACGCCCAAATCGTGTATGTTGGCATCTCTGACATCATGTTCATGTCTTAAAATGTATCCTTCTGAAACGTACTTAAAAGATGATTCAAACCAACAATTATCAGTAGACCAAGTGAACAAAGATATAAATTGTCTCTACAGTGTGGTTATGGCGCTAAAAACCTTTTCAAATATATATAACAAAAATAATAATTATGGACAAAAAACGTACAAAATGAAAAGGAAAAACATCGTTCACTTTTGAGTTTGGTTTACACATTTGGACAATTTGCCGGGTTTACCTTAGATCAGCCGTAGTACTATCGGAAAGGATGATAGATTATTTTCATTTTACAGGTGATTTTGATGTAAGAAGGAAACCTGTAGCTTATAAAAATCGTCATTTTTCGAGTAAACCCATTTGAAAGCTTCGTGCACAAATAAACTGGTCCCAGTGCCCTCTATGATCGTACTTAACTGCATTTCAGGGCCGGGAACCAGTCAGTTGTAAATCTTTTCAGTTAAATGTATACATTTCCAACGCGTCGGAAGATTACAAACGGAGCGCCGCGGCGCGTGGCTAGCCATGTTTACGGGCCAGATTCCAGGGTCTGTGTACAGGTACTAGTACGTACGGTGGCCCACAACTGTCACGGCAAGCGCAAAAGCGCCGCGGCAAGCGCAAAAGCGCCACGGGTTTATTGGGAAGGAATTTCATTCGTTCGCACGAATTACTAATTCGTTCGCACGAACTGCTAATTCGTTCGCACGAATTCCTATTTCGTTCGCACGAATTCCTAATTCGTTCGCACGAATTGCTATTTCGTTCGCACGAATTCCTAATTCGTTCGCACGAATTGCTATTTCGTTCGCACGAATTCCTAATTCGTCCGCACAAATTACTAATTCGTGGGAACAAATTAGTAATTCGTTCGAACGAATTACTAGGCCTAATTCGTTCCTACGAATTAGTTATTCGTTCGAACGAATTACTAATTCGTGCGAACGAATTAGCAATTCGTGCGAACGAATTAGTAATTCGTGCGAACGAATTAGGCCTAGTAATTCGTTCGAACGAATTACTAATTTGTTCCCACGAATTAGTAATTTGTGCGGACGAAACTCCAAAAAAAAAATTCCACCCTGTCCCTTCCCGGGCTTCATACGTTTGCTTTGTTTCGAGTGAATACAGAACTATTTAATGCCGGAAACAAGCCCTCTTTCTGCCGTGCAGGCTGATTCTGCGAGGATGTGGAAGACTGTCCACAGGGCAACTCATCATCGCTATCGCTAAGCATCATGAGGTCTTGTTCGGCTTCTTGGTTTCTTGAGCTGGGGGTGGGTGGGCAAATGAGTTCTAGGTTCTAAGTTAATTTCTTTCTTTCTTATTCTATATCCAAACTCTGGGCAGCTCAATTGTGTGCCTACACTGGTATTTACACCGGTAAACTCATGGGCGTCGCCAGGATTTTTTCTAGAGGGAGGCATAACATATTTGTCCCAAAATTTCTTGTATTTCTGAACAAATTCTCGATTTCTCACTTTTAGACGGGGCAGGGACATTTTGCCCCCCCCCCCCAACTCATTAAATTTACACCAATATGACTTCGCGCCTCTTTTTCCTTCTCTTTTTTTTCTCTTATTTTTTTCTTCCTTTTTTTTGGGGGGGGGGGTGCTTTTCCAGGGGAGGGGAAGCGCCCCCTTGCCCCCCCCCCCCCCTCGCGACGCCCATGGGTGAACTAAGTCTCAAATTAACGGAACTCTTCTCTGCATGCTAGTCGAAGGAAAAAAACTCTTCAAAAAAAAATGCATCAGCTCACAGAGCCTCCCGTCCTCGTAATTGTTTTGCATCCCACGAAATGTAAAGAAATGAGGAACGGCCCTGGAGGTGCTGATAGTGAGTCCCACTCCTTTATAAACTCTGATTCACGGCAGCAACTCTCTTGGAATAATCTTGGAATTATCCTACAACAAATTAATATCGACGATTTATTTCCTGAACGTTGCTTGCACTGACCGGTTTTCCTTGCTCTTTTCTATTTTCTCAGCCATAAAATCACTTCTCAAAGAATTAAATTCTGTGATTAATAAGAATTCCTGGTGGCGGCCATTCTCCTTCCCATTTTATTTTTTGATGTAGTAGCGGCATGTATGATTACGCCCCTTCCCAATAAACCCGTGGCGCTTTTGCTTTCGCCGTGGCGCTTTTGCTTTCGCCGTGGCGCTTTTGCGCTTGCCGCGGCGCTTTTTCTTTTGCCGCGGCGCTTTTTCTTTTGCCGCGGCGCTTTTTCTTTTGCCGCGGCGCTGTTGCGCTTGCCGCGGCGCTTTTGCTTTTGCCCCAACAGTTGGGGGCCACCGTATGTACGTGCACAATAACGTTACATTCAACGAAAAAAACCGTATAACGTGAGACCTTACTTTTCTCATTGAAACGGTTTCCGACTTAAATGATATTTATACATCGCACTTTCTGTGGCATCCTTGGACCATTTTTCAGTGAAGACAAGTTTACAATTACTCGGCAAAACTGAAAAATTATCCCCTTAACTGTCGCCTGTTTTGAATTTGTGACCCAATACTTTCGTACTACATGACACGGAAAAACAAAAAAAAATGCATCAAATACTCTGTTTTTTGCGCTAAGGTTTGCAAAAGTGACTTTGATTGCCTTAAATTCCTGTCCACGTGGAAAGAAAAATTTATCAAAGTACTTCGAGCGTGATGTTGACCGATACTTCAGTGGGTCAAACTGCGACTGCAGGCAACCATGTTTGCTGATTATCAATATTTCATATTTTGAGTGCGCATGCGCGCAAACTAAATGAGCGCTGAAACTGTCCCATTTTGTCGTAAGGCGACTATACACACAAAATGGCTTGGCTGTACGGGTGTGGCGATACCCATGCAAACACGCCAGGGAAAAATATTGCAACACATTCCGCGCCACTTCCGCGCTTGTGTACGAAGTCATTTCAAGTATTTCCTAACAAAATTTGAAACATTTCTCAGTCCCAGATTCATGTCTTATCATCATTTTGCAACATGACCTTCATTGAGATGAATTATGAAGAAAAAAGTGGCGTCAGGTTGTAACATTAATACTTCTGTTGACGCAATGGTTAAAGCCGAAGAATACACTCGCAAGTGTGGATTCTTAATTTACGAATTCACTCGGCGCTTCGCGCCTCGTGAATTCTTAAATTACGAATCCACACTTTCTCGTGTATTCTCCTTAACGGAATCAATTGTCAATTACACTCACATAAAGTATGAGGCTCCCTCCACTGCGACTATAGATGATTGGTTATTGGTTGATTGTGGGAGATCAAAACTGTGCAAGTACCCTTCACAAGACCAGGTTTAATACGGCCACAGCAACTGAGCGCGCGGCCTGCAAAACTATGGAAGGTCCAACACTGCAAAACGGAAGAAGAATTATTACAGATCACCAAAATATTATTTGATACTTGAAAATACAACATTTTCAACAAAGCTACAAAATAATTCCCACATATGTCTTTTTACTATGTGTTGATGGCGTTATGAGGACTTTTCTTGGAAAATATGCCGCCAATCACGGCTTCAATGTATGCGCTTACGGCAGCCCATACAAAATGGCGCTAATGTTAACAGACAAAAGAAAGCCTATTGGTAGTCTGGTTTCCAGACCAAAACATTCTGACTATTCCTGATGAATCGTAGGTCAGGCAGCCTCCGTGGCTAAAAATAAACATGATAATAAATTATGATAATACAGTTTGATGTTTCTGTAAGATACATTGACTAATGTTGATCTGGAATTTTCAAATTTAGACACCCAAATAGCATTGTTAGCAGGCGGAGCCGCATGAAGACCGAGTTTTGGAAAATCTCGGTAACGGTCCTCAAATTCAAAATTGTACATGACGCAGCAAAAAGTTCGCCCATACGATCCGAGTATATTTGATGCACAAAATCGTCACTGAATTTCAAGTTTTCTAAATGAAAGCAATGAATATTAATTATCAACTCATTTAAACAAATTTTAATAAGCAATTAGCGGTTAATTAAACCTATATTTTACTCGGAAATACTCGGGCACAATACGATTGTCGACGAAACGAATTCGGCAAACTTCGGAAACTTTCGGAAAAAGGAGGAATTCCTCCCGTTTTAGTCACGTGACGTAAATTGTAATACAATGTATTACCGGAGGCTACCGCACCTAAGATTCATCAGGAAAAGTCAGAATCTTTTGGTCTGGGAACCAGACTAGCCTATTGGCCAATGTCCCCATAAACCTGGGTGAGTGCACGCGCACCTTGCTGGCTACCAGTAAAGAACTAAAGCGCGCCCTCTATAAAATGCATTGTGCTACAATATATTCTGTGTAGTAATGTCATTAAAGCATCCTCTACACCGCGATGAGCAAAAAGGAGACTTTTGCCTAGTCTTAAAGTAGACATATTAATGATGTATGATGTAGGTGTGTGTGGTGTTGGGCAATTGACAAAAACCAAATATTTTACCTTAGTGTTGCTCTTCGAAGCACAATTTTGAGAAATATACACATTTTCACTCAATATTGCAAATGGTTACTGTACATTTAGTAATATTAATTTGGTAACTGTGAATTTATGGAACGTCAATTTGGTTTAAAACTTAATACCAAATTTGTAAAATCATATTTTTGACCAAAAATTTGACTTTTAGACCAAAATGAGCCAATAACACATTCCTCCCACTTAAGCAGCTCCACATCATGCCTAATCTGAAAGTAAAAATATTAAGCTTCTAACGATGTATGATGTAGGTGTGTGTAGGGTGGGGGGGCAATTAAGTCGACCAAAATGTGGATTCCGCCGCTCGCCTATATGGGTAGTTCTTGGGTATCATCATCATGAGACATCAAGCAGAGCACACTGTTTGAAACTATCAGTTAAACAACTGGTTCAAGTCAAAAGTGATATTATTCACATGGTGTTACAAAAAACCTTCTGTTCTTTGTTCATGTCCGCCATGCAAACCTACATGTCTCATTTACATGTACATGTATGTAGCTTGCCAAAGCCATATCCGCAAAAATCCTAGTTTGGAAAAAGCCGTAGTCTGGTTCCACGTTCACGCAAACAACCACATTCTGGTATTGACAGTCCGGTGCCGACATGAAGCGACTAGACACCCAACTGCCTCAGTCTAGTCACGGCCACCGTCCATTTATCCAGCCACTGTTGCAGTGCGAGGTCGTCCAGCTTGACCCAAGGAGTGAGAAGCTGTGCTGGCTGCTCCCACCTGTCAATGATATCAACAAATTACGACAAGTAATCAGGTTTTATTAAACATGCACAAAAACCTAGAACAGTTTACCCATTACTATTGGTTGAGAGCCCATGGGTGGTTTTAAACGGTTATTCCTAAATACCTAAGACTGTTTACGCATTCCTATTGGTTTATGCATTCCTATTGGTCGAGAGCCCGTCTCGTGGCCGGTCTTAAACTGATGATAAAGACATGGCTAGCTGGTCTAATTTAAACACTTTTCCAGTGTCACATGAAATTTGGACTCCCATGAAATCCGGAGCTTTTAACGTTTTGTTGGTTGAACGTTCAAATTCCCCATGTATACATGGACAATACTACCAGTGAATCATTCTTTCATAGTCCGATATTCACACTACACCAGCACAGCTGCGTTTTGCGCGACATTGCGCAGTACGCACAACTATGGAGTTGGAATGCACGACGCGCACGCAATTGTGGAGGGGCATTCCATATTATAGTCAGAGGGGTGTTTTGAAAAACATGAAGTAAAATTGTTAAAACAAAATCTCCGCATTTTTAATATAACCTAGACCATACATATTTTTTCGCCCCGCCCAGCGGCAGACAACGATATTTAAGGATAAAAAGGCATAAATCTTATCAAACTCCTCATACCTGCTCATGCTGTCTAAACTCTGAAATGTTTTTTTTTATTTAATGCTTGCTCCGATATCGGGTTTCAAATTCCAAATCTGATTTAAATTCCAAACCAAAACGGATTTTGTTTCTGTACAAGTATATACACATAGTTGTTCTTCGCATCTTTGTTGTGCTGCTCCCGTTCTCGCACGCAAAGGAACGGTTGATTAACATAACAATACCCCCTCAGTGAAGCTTGCACAAGCACGATCTACGGAACGCTTTCTAAAAGCTGTTCGGCACGGGAACCGTTCAGAACGGGAAGGAACGCGTGCGCACGCGTGCGAACGGTTCATTTATTTATGACGCCTCGCCTTAGGAGAAATGCAAATTCTGAAAATTTGGGGTCTCTACGACTTTTTGTTCTTGCGCAACAGCATTTTGAAATTTGAAGTGGGCGGGGCCCGGGCGAAAAGCGCATCGCATCACGAAATTCAATGTTTAAAGGGCCATGTATTTAAAACTATACCCCCCCAGACATTTCAAACTTGGTAATCTGGGCTATTATTTGCTGTAGATTTCAAATATTTAAATAGAAAGAAAGTAGCTTGTTTCATTTTTAAGTTAGAGGGGCCCCCAAATGGCCCAAAACTCATCTGGACAAATGTTGGGGGGGGGGGGGAAGTCAAAAATTGAAAATATTTTGTTCACCAATTTTTTTGCCTGTAATAGCCCCCAATTGAAACTACTTGTAAAATCTTACTTGATCAGTTGATATAATTGTTTACAGTTCCACAGGTGAAATTATGCATTCCTTGTGATTTAGTTTTGATGAAGTTGAATGCTCAATAAACAGTTGCTTGTAGACCTAGCCCGACTGCGTCTGGCCGTACAGTACTATCGCAAGCTCTGTAGTACGGCCAGACGCCCAATGCTTCCAAAAAGACTGAATTTTTTTGGCCGCTGATGTAGCGATTTTGCTACATCTTTTGATCGAGATTATCTTTTCATCCAGGACAAAAATTTCCACAGTTAAGGTTCTTAGTCGTAGAGCAACTCATACCTTTTCGAAAAAACGTTCTTTGGTCTCAATATTTTCATCCATCTGGCCAAAAGACGACTTTCAGTCATCATCTTCCACAAATATCGTCCTGAAAATGCTCCCCCAAGCGATTTCAAAATGGCGGCCGCGCTGTAACTCATGAATATGCACAATCACTCGGGACAACACTATTACATGCAGTGTTTTAAAATACATCGGTACGTTTAAAACACTGCATATAATAGTGTTGTCCCGAGTATAATAGTGTTGAAGCGCGAAGCCCTTACGGCCTGGGGTTCGGGGCCCGCCCAAGGGCCCCGAAATTTTTTTGAAATGTAGATGCTCTGTGGTGCATTTTAAAGCCCCCTGGCATGCCTGGGCCAACTATTGGTCGAAAATGTTTTGCAATTTATGCATGTTTTTAAGTTAACTTTTCCTTCATATTGGCTTGAAACTGCCTAAATGGCCAACTTGTATATGAAAACTGGGAAATCCAACCACGTTTTCCATATTTTAACTCCTTACTGCAGATGATTGATAGGCCTACACATCGTCATCGCGTGTCCCGGCTTCTGATCGAGTCGCCTAATTTCTGCCCATTAACCATGTCCATGTGTTCCATCCAAATCCATTTCCACGGATTCGTAACCTGAGGATCGGTCTTGTCAATGTCCGAATCAAACTCCGAACCTCTTGGGATAATAACATATTTGTGTTGAACTGACATCTTGCGTAATTAATGTCAAAATACGTTCGAAACATTTGAAACGACATTCCTCCATGGACACACCAACGTACGTATCAGCATGCAGCGGAATACGCAGCAGGCCGATGCGTGCATGCAATGAAATGCACACATGAACTTTGCCCCGCATGATGCCCTCTACCGGTGCGGCACGGCGACAATTTACTAGTCTTATTTCAAGGCTTTATATTTGCAACAAGACGATGTTTACAGCGAGTTATTGTGGAGATCATCGCGTGTCACTACATGCATAGACACAGGAACGGCCGCAAAGAGTCCCAACGCTCTTCATGGCGCATGTGTGAATATTCATATTTATCTGCAGCCAATCACAGCGCAATGACTGTTGGTTCCCCGGATGCTGTTTACACGTTGTGTACACACGCGGCTTCGAGCTGAAAAATGCATGCCCATGGCATCGTATAGTACATGTACACACGTATGTACGTAAATGTACATGTACATGTACATGTACATGTACATTGAATACTCGCTTGCACGCACCCCATCTCAGAGCTACGTGTATGTTGTAGAGAGCGGATCGCGTGCGTTCGGCGAAAAATAAAATAAACGGAAATAAAATCAATGCTTACGCGCGGGGGAAAAAGCGGGGGAAATCTGGACCATCGGAAGAAAAAAAGCGGAAAACAAAATGTGGCACGCTGAACAAAAAAGCGGAAATCCGCTAAATAGCGGAGATTTCACACCCCTGAATAATGGTAAAGTGCCTTTCTCAAGAGCACAAGCATCATGTTCCCACGGTCAGGACTCGAACCCATGTACCACGGCACACAGTGCAGAATACAGTTCTGCACTCACCTGATACATGCTGGATGGCGGTCAGGTCATCGGTGTGGGTCTCTGCCATGGAAGCATGGAGTAGATGCTGTGAGTCTAGTAACGTCTGCACCGCTGCTATTTCACATTTCAGCTGGACGTCGCACGGCAGTAGATTCTCTGGAGCCTGTATGTAAAATGATGGAAGAAACGATCGTGAGCTTGCGGCTGAAAGAATATTTTCATTGAAGAAGGGTGAACACTTTACTGTGCATGGATGCAAGAAGTTGGGTCCAGAGGATAATTTCAAATCTGAGTGGAGTGCTGTGTCCTAGAACATTATTGCTTCTCCTCACCCAGGAGTAAAATTGGCTGAGTTTGAATTATCCAATTTCACCTACAGTAAACTCCGGCCAAGTTGACATCGTATAACTCGTCATATCGCTTAAATCGGCTGTCTGGCGAAACTCCCGATCGTCTCTAATGCAGTTCCATTGAAATTTTCATTTCTAAGTAGGCCTTTGTAGGTCACCATTTGGCCAATGTCAGTGTGTTGTCGGGCCCATTTCCTCACAACCACAGAAATTCCTCCGTATAAGTCGGGATCAAAAAAAAAAAAAAAACATTCCAGGAACACAAAAGCTGCACTGTTTTGGTCTGATGTCTAAAGACAAAATTAAGGTGCGTGATTTTTTCTCCTCCTCAGACTCAAGGGAGGAACCAGTTTGTCTCCAAGTCCATGGACAAACTGCATGTATTGATTTTGCAGATATCAAGGGGTATGTTACAGTGATGTATGACTGTTACTGGTGGCTAGCATGTGTTCAGGAGATCCTTCCAGCATCCCAAGAAGTGGAACTGAGTTTCCTTCATCCCCATGGGCCATCTCCATCTTTCAAGTTCCCCTATCGACCAGACACACTTGTAATTCACGGCATGGATGTACTAACAGCAGTGGAACCGGTCACTGAAACAGGACGCGTATACAAGATCTCCGCCGAGGAGATGAACACTGCAACACAGACTTTGGTTGAGCGAAAAATGAAAGTAACGTAGACCGGTATAACATATTTTTTATAAGTAATTTTGTTCTGCCCTTAATATATATGAGTTAAGACTATACGGTTGTAAAGGGCAAACATGATGCACCGGTAAAATGTGCACATGTACATGTACATGTACATGTACATACATGTACATGTATATGTACATGCACATGTACATTTAATATTATGCATACTTTTTCATGGACAGGCTTTCTTAAAAAAATCATAACTTAAAAACTTTAAGAGCGCCCATCCCAATTTTTTTTTTAAGATTGTGCTGACATCATAAACTCACATTTGAAAAAAATTACAAAATTTGAAGCTTACTGTTTTTCGTAATTCGAGGTCAAAGGTCATTTTGTTACGCATTTTCTCTGCACTTCATGCTACGATTTTGGTTTTATTTTATGAAATGGAGGCCATTCAAAGAACTTTAATATGATGTACAACTTGGCTTTGTAGGCGCTATAGTTTTTGAGATACAAGTATTTAAAGTTCGGAGGTCATGCTAATAAGTCAAAAGTTCGTTGACCCGTATCTCAAAAACTAAAGAGTCAATTTACAAAAAAATTCTGTTCTGGGGGTTTCTCATATAGGCCCATCATCACACCAAATATCGTTTCAATCTGTGAGGGTCGGGTCCAAAAACGTGTTGATTTGACACGGAATGACCCACGGGTCATTCCATGCCAACTCAACAAATGGTGCACACCATCACCTCTTGGATTTTTTCTTTTTTTGGTGTACTGCAAGATACTTAGGAGAAATGCAAATTCTGAAAATTTGGGGTCTCTACGACTTTTGGTTCTTGCGCAACAGCATTTTGAAATTTGAGGTGGGCGGGGCCGAGCCAGGGCGAAAAGTGCGTCGCGTCACGAAATTCAATGTTTAAAGGGCCATATATTTCAAACTATACCCCCCAGACATTTCAAACTTGGTAATCTGGGCTATTTTTTACTGTAGATTTCAAATATTTAAACAGAAAGAAAGTAGCTTGCTTCATTTTTAAGTTAGAGGGGCCCCAAAATGGGCCAAAACTCATCTGGACCAATGTTCGGGGGGGTGTAAGTCAAAAATTGAAAATATTTTTTTCACCAAATTTTTTGCCTGTAATAGCCCCCAATTGAAACTACTTTCATGTAAAATCTTACACTTATATTAATTTCATTGAATGAGATATAGCCCTTGCAAAAAGCAAATTGTTTATTTTTACGATAACTTGACCCCCCCCCAAAAAACCAACGTCAGACGTTCCGCACCAAATTTTGCTTCACATATGTTTGAGGTTGGTCCTTAGTGAAGTCCTCTGAAAAGTTTCATGTTGGTGTCTAAATGTCTTCAGTGGATAGCTGGGCTTTATAATGAGTCTATATCTTACGATGCTGGTTCCGTAACCTACAAGTACATGTACATGTACTTGTATTTTACGGAACCAGCACAACAAAATCCCCCGACTGTTGAAAGACTTGGGTCAAGACTACCCATTTCCTGCTCAATAAACAGTTGCTTGTAGACCTACGTGTGCATTATATGCAAATTAGGTTAAATGACTTGAGAGTCTTATCTTTCCATGTGCTCATCACACAGCATGCATGTCATGTATGTAGTAATTAACCAGTTCCTACTTGCACAGCATAGTATAGCACTAACCTGAACCAAAGAGAAGTGATTCAGTTTGAGTAGAGGGTCTATGGTTTTAACCTGATTGATCTTAGTTTCCATTATGGGTAAGGGGAAACCTAGTTCATGCAGGAAACTCATCATGCACCAATTGTAGCAGCTGACCTCAACCCAGGAAAATATGTTTGTGTGCAGGTCTATGATGATGTTTGGTACATTGCTATTGTAGAAGATGTATCACAACTTCATGAGGATGTGTATGTCTGCTTCATGTACAGGACGGAATCAACAAATACTCTCTATTGGCCACAAAGAGAGGATAAATGTAACATTCCATTTGTTGATGTGTTGTGTTGCGTACCAACACCAGAACTTCTACATAGCGGTGGAAGGCAATACAAACTTAGTGAGCCAACCATCATGCAACTCATTCAACTTCATCAAAACTACATCACAAGGAATGCATAATTTCACCTGTGAAACTGTAAACAATTATATCAACTGATCAAAAGTCCACATGTACAAATGTAAGCTAAGTTTCATACCCAACTTATTCTTTATGTACCGACTGCTGTTATTCTATGTACATGTATGTGTACTTGTATGTTACGGAACCAGCATCGTAAGATATAGACTCATTATAAAGCCCAGCTATCCACTGAAGACATTTAGACACCAACATGAAACTTTTCAGGGGACTTCACTAAGGACCAACCTCAAACATATGTGAAGCAAAATTTGGTGCGGAATGTCTGACGTTGGTTTTTGGGGGGGTCAAGTTATCGTAAAAATAAACAATTTGCTTTTTGCAAGGGCTATATCTCATTCAATGAAGTTAATATAAGTGTAAGATTTTACATGAAAGTAGTTTCAATTGGGGGCTATTACAGGCAAAAAATTTGTTGAAAAAATATTTTCAATTTTTGACTTACACCCCCCTGAACATTGGTCCAGATGAGTTTTGGGCCATTTTGGGGCCCCTCTAACTTAAAAATGAAACAAGCTACTTTCTTTCTGTTTAAATATTTGAAATCTACAGCAAAAAATAGCCCAGATTACCAAGTTTGAAATGTCTGGGGGGTATAGTTTGAAATATATGGCCCTTTAAACATTGAATTTCGTGACGCAACGCACTTTTCGCCCTGGCCCGGCCCACCTCAAATTTCAAAATGCTGTTGCGCAAGAATGAAAAGTCGTAGAGACCCCAACTTTTCAGAATTTGCATTTCTCCTAAGTATCTTTCAGTACACCAAAACAGAAAAATATCCAAGAGGTGATGGTGTGCACCATTTGTTGAGTTGGCATGGAATGACCCACACATTGTTAATGACCTGCAACATTTTTTTCCGCCTGTTTCGGAAATGGCCTGAGGCGCCTGCCTGACATCACGTTGGCAGCTATGTTTCTGCATGGCCTTATGGGATACTTAGCCAAGTAACCGGCTCGACAAGTCGGTTACTTGGGCCAGGCTCGAGTAAGCGCGAGAAGTCACATGAGAGGTAAATCGAACGCTGTCGCGCTTGCACGAGTAAGCTCGGGGAAAAGTAATAGAATGCACTCAATGAACACAACACCAGCAACACACCTGCCCAATGAAGTGAGGCGTAACAGATGCAGCGGCAGCTGGGCGAAACGTTCCACCTCCTCAGCTACCCCATTCCTCATGTGGGTTGCCATGGCAACTGTGCCCGCCTCATGACTGCACAGTGTGGACTGCATGTACTTCAGATTCTGTTTTTGAAGGTGAAAACAAGGAATTGGTTGAGAGAACCGACACTGTAGAAAAAGCTTACCTGTTGCTGAATTGAATAGACCACCCTTCTCTCAATCCCAATAGACCTAAGACCTAATGACATCACTCTTTGTTTACACGTGTGCTTTCCTATGAAAACCAAACGGGACCCGTATTTTTGTGACATCATTAGTTCTCAGGTCTATTGAGATTTGGTCATCAGGAAAAGTTCAATGGAAGTTGGGGTATGTTTTGTTTTGGCAAATTTAAGAGGCGTTCTGGCAAAATGAGACGCAAGAGGGCAGAGGTCGAAATGACGGTCTAAGGGTATTAGGAAAGAGACTAAATTCCCCTAACAATACTCTTTGTTGCACTTCAATCGGACATTCTGTTGACAAGTTATGGCTGTTTAAAGTTCACATTTATCGACATGTCACAGGGCTTGAATTGAGCCAGGGCGAAAAGTGCGTCGTGTCACGAAATTCAATGTTTAAAGGGCCATATATTTCAAACTATACCCCCCAGACATTTCAAACTTGGTAATCTGGGCTATTTTTTACTGTAGATTTCAAATATTTAAACAGAAAGAAAGTAGCTTGCTTTATTTTTAAGTTAGAGGGGCCCCAAAATGGCCCAAAACTCATCTGGACCAATGTTCGGGGGGGTGTAAGTCAAAAATTGAAAATATTTTTTTCACCAAATTTTTTGCCTGTAATAGCCCCCAATTGAAACTACTTTCATGTAAAATCTTACACTTATATTAATTTCATTGAATGAGATATAGCCCTTGCAAAAAGCAAATTGTTTATTTTTACGATAACTTGACCCCCCCCCCAAAAAACCAACGTCAGACGTTCCGCACCAAATTTTGCTTCACATATGTTTGAGGTTGGTCCTTAGTGAAGTCCTCTGAAAAGTTTCATGTTGGTGTCTAAATGTCTTCAGTGGATAGCTGGGCTTTATAATGAGTCTATATCTTACGATGCTGGTTCCGTAACGTACAAGTACATGTACATGTACTTGTATTTTACGGAACCAGCACAACAAAATCCCCCGACTTTTAACCTGATTGATCTTAGTTTTCATTATGGATAAGGGGAAACCTAGTTCATGCAGGAAACTCATCATGCACCAATTGTAGCAGCTGACCTCAACCCAGGAAAATATGTTTGTGTGCAGGTCTATGATGATGTTTGGTACATTGCTATTGTAGAAGATGTATCACAACTTCATGAGGATGTGTATGTCTGCTTCATGTACAGGACGGAATCAACAAATACTCTCTATTGGCCACAAAGAGAGGATAAATGTAACATTCCATTTGTTGATGTGTTGTGTTGCGTACCAACACCAGAACTTCTACATAGCGGTAGAAGGCAATACAAACTTAGTGAGCCAACCATCATGCAACTCATTCAACTTCATCAAAACTACATCACAAGGAATGCATAATTTCACCTGTGAAACTGTAAACAATTATATCAACTGATCAAAATCCACATGTACAAATGTAAGCTAAGTTTCATACCCAACTTATTCTTTATGTACCGACTGCTGTTATTCTATGTACATGTATGTGTACTTGTATGTTACGGAACCAGCATCGTAAGATATAGACTCATTATAAAGCCCAGCTATCCACTGAAGACATTTAGACACCAACATGAAACTTTTCAGGGGACTTCACTAAGGACCAACCTCAAACATATGTGAAGCAAAATTTGGTGCGGAATGTCTGACGTTGGTTTTTGGGGGGGTCAAGTTATCGTAAAAATAAACAATTTGCTTTTTGCAAGGGCTATATCTCATTCAATGAAGTTAATATAAGTGTAAGATTTTACATGAAAGTAGTTTCAATTGGGGGCTATTACAGGCAAAAAATTTGTTGAAAAAATATTTTCAATTTTTGACTTACACCCCCCTGAACATTGGTCCAGATGAGTTTTGGGCCATTTTGGGGCCCCTCTAACTTAAAAATGAAACAAGCTACTTTCTTTCTGTTTAAATATTTGAAATCTACAGCAAAAAATAGCCCAGATTACCAAGTTTGAAATGTCTGGGGGGTATAGTTTTAAATATATGGCCCTTTAAACATTGAATTTCGTGACGCGACGCACTTTTCGCCCTGGCCCGGCCCACCTCAAATTTCAAAATGCTGTTGCGCAAGAATGAAAAGTCGTAGAGACCCCAACTTTTCAGAATTTGCATTTCTCCTAAGTATCTTTCAGTACACCAAAACAGAAAAATATCCAAGAGGTGATGGTGTGCACCATTTGTTGAGTTGGCATGGAATGACCCACACATTGTTAATGACCTGCAACATTTTTTTCCGCCTGTTTCGGAAATGGCCTGAGGCGCCTGCCTGACATCACGTTGGCAGCTATGTTTATTGCATGGCCTTATGGGATACTTAGCCAAGTAACCGGCTCGACAAGTCGGTTACTTGGGCCAGGCTCGAGTTAGCGCGAGAAGTCACATGAGAGGTAAATCGAACGCTGTCGCGCTTGCACGAGTAAGCTCGGGGAAAAGTAATAGAATGCACTCAATGAACACAACACCAGCAACACACCTGTCCAATGAGGCGAGGCGTAACAGATGCAGCGGCAGCTGGGCGAAACGTTCCACCTCCTCAGCTACCCCGTTCCTCATATGGGTTGTCATGGCAACTGTGCCCGCCTCATGACTGCACAGTGTGGACTGCATGTACTTCAGATTCTGTTTTTGAAGGTGAAAACAAGGAATTGGTTGAGAGAACCGACACTGTAGAAAAAGCTTACCTGTTGCTGAATTGAATAGACCACCCTTCTCTCAATCCCAATAGACCAAGACCTAATGACATCAATCTTTGTTTACACGTGTGCTTTCCTATGAAAACCAAACGGGACGTGTATTTTTGTGACATCATTAGTTCTCAGGTCTATTGAGATTTGGTCATCAGGAAAAGTTCAATGGAAGTTGGGGTATGTTTTGTTTTGGCAAATTTAAGAGGCGTTCTGGCAAAATGAGACGCAAGAGGGCAGAGGTCGAAATGACGGTCTAAGGGTATTAGGAAATAGACTAAATTCCCCTAACAATACTCTTTGTTGCACTTCAATCGGCCATTCTGTTGACAAGTTTTGATTGTTTAAAGTTCGCATTTATCGACATGTCACAAAAGAAAAAATGCTGCAAACTGCAACTGTCAGAGCAATATTTTCTCCCACCTCTCTCTGCAGAACCTCTAGTTTTTTCTTGGCCTCTGAGTTCTGCCGCACCATCACTCGGATCAGGTCCTGCTTCTTTTCCTTTAAAATGTGAAAAACAAAGACGACATTCAAATTCAAGGAAATTGGGTACAAAAAGTGATCAAATGTTACCTAAGAAAATAAATACATTTCAGTCTTGTAGGTTTATTCATTTTTGAATAAATTTTTGTATAATTCTATGGGAATCATGGAAATTTATGTCTGAAAACAGATGAATATCAATCACCTGTATACACTTTTCATTATTAGTATTTATTAGAGATACATTGCAAATAGCGATCATTAACCCTCCTGCTGTCTGAACAGTCACAGAAAATCAAATATTACTCCTCTTCTCCTGCCATGTCTTTTACACAGGCTAGTCACCAACAGTCAGCTGTCAAGTGAGCACTGTGACTAGTCAAAGTCAATCAACAGACAAAAGCAGGCAAGTGGTAGGCACAGCTGGTTTATCAATCACATAAAGTCAAAGCATATATAGCTGTATCAAGTTACATAAACAGTCACAGTCAGCCAATCCTGCTTTATGTAGGCTGGGAGCTCTTAACTGTTGAAAACAGTCACTTGATTGATTTTCAAAGGACAGCTTTGCACAGAATGTATGTTTACATAGAAAGGTCAAAGTAGAAATATGGCATTCAATGCAATATATGACTTTGTTGCCTCTTATCCAGCCGCTTTTTACTTCAACTTCTTGAAGTCTTGTATCTTCTGGTACTTGCTGTACAGACTGTCCTTCTCCTTGGACGCCTTGGAGGCAGACTCCTGGAGCTCCCTGCAGGAATCCCGGAGCTGCTCAAGAGTGGCTGTGGCAGAAACCAACTCCAACTTGGTAGTGAACAAGGTCCTGATAATTTATATTTTTTTCAAACAAGACAACATTAACCTTAAAGGCAGGCATGGTATGCAATTCATTGAAGGTTGATATATCAGGATTTCTATTTAGTTAATTAAATGTAAGGTGTTCTAACAAAATTGTGAGGCGTTCTAGCAAGACAAAACTGGGCATATGCCATAGGGGAGAAAAATGCACAAAACCAAACGGGGTGATTTTTTTTTCGATTTTCAGATTTATTGACATTTGTTATCTTTGATATGTCTACTAAACATAGTTTAATGAAATAGCAGATTTTTGCAAAAGGCAAAATTTTCAAGCCAACTTCTGATACAGCCAAACGCCACAAATACTGATTTAGGGATTAGCGTGCTTAGCATGTTTTAGGAGGCGAGTCGAGGCAATCTTGACGCCTTAACCCGTCAGCCGTGCCCGTGTATAAAAACAGCCGACGCGAACTTGTTAAGAAAAATACAATTGGCATCTTTCAGTATTTTACTTTTTTGACATGTCGATAAATGCAAACTTTAAACAGCCATAACTTGTCAACAGAATGTCCGATTGAGGTGCAACAAACGGTAGTGCAAGGATAATTTTATTCTTTCCTAATACCCGCAAAACCTCATTTTGACCTCTGCCCAGTTCTGTCTCATTTTGCCAGAATGCCTCACAAATCTGAGAAAACATTCTAGAAAGGAACCATAACACTTTACAGATTCTTGTCTTCCAGTAAAGGAGTTTGTGCAGACCTCACCTTGCCATTTCTGAGGCGCCTGGGTTATCAGCCAGTGATGCCGCTAGTCCTCTGAGGACCTGGGAGACCAACTGAGCTAGTCTCTTGTCCAGCCGCCAGGCACTGTTCCGACCCTGCTCTGTGACCATGAATGTGCGCATGTGGGCCAGCTGCTTCTCCTAAGAGGTAAATATTGGATAAAGTTAATTTTTTCCCTTCAAATCCCAATTGAAGTCACTACATTTTTCAAGAACATGTGAAATTTATGGAATTCATGAGATCGAGTTTTGCGTCTGGGTGATGAAAAATCAAGAAAGGTTTTGCCCCCAGTGTGTTACCTAAGTATACAGTGTTTATACATGTACGTCGGTGAAGGGCAGAACCTAATTTGATTTACATCACCCCGACACAAAATTCCATCGTATGAATAATTAATACGGTACCCGCTGCTATGTACATCCGATTCGAACCAGCAAACCGATCCTGTTAGCTCGGTGGTCGAGTGGTAAGACATCTGCACTAGAAAGCAGAACGTCGTGGGTTCGAGTCCCACCCGAGTGATATTTTCCAACTTTCACTCGGGAGGTAACACACTGAGTATACAGTGTTAAATTTTCAGCCCATAGATTGGCTCATCTTCTATATTGCAAATCTGTAGAGCAAATTGCTTTCATCAAGTTCTCCACATTAGATAAAGTTACCTAAAACCAAATTCACGCAAACTGCCCAATTCTGAAACACTTAGAGAAGTGCCTAGGGTCTCCGTGCACAAGTACCCCATCGACGGCCAGAAAAGGAGAGTTGCATATTTCGAAGTTATTGGAGATGGGGATTAGTCCTGCCGACCATCGCAAGTTGAATTCGAACGCCGACGATGTCGGCGCTCGCGCAAAGTCGTTGTGGCTATAGCTTTTGCACATTCAGGAAGTCGTGCATACTTCGCATGCGAACCAGTACAGTACAGTACACGCACGCAGTGAGTCCCGTCCAAGGAGCTCTCAAAAAGAGGTAATAACGCACCCTCTTTTGTTGGTGCACGGAGCCCATTGACAACATGGTTATTTTGGTATCATGATTTAACTTAACTGTGGGTTTAGGGTCAACTTGATTCTTAACAATTGGTTTAAAAATAATTCTCAAAATGTATGGCAGAATAAAATACAGGATTTTATTGGTTATATAGGTTACTTTAAATATAAAATAGGGATATTGTGTAGAGGATCTGTGCATATAAACACCATTCAACAAACGTCTAGTCGCAGCGAAAATAATACACGTCTTTGGGTACCGGTTATGTTGTTGTTGTTGTTGTGTTCGTATGTACACACGCGGGTCATCTCATACACCATACCCCGGCGCGCAGCCCTTCCCGATCTACCGGCTACGGCCCAACATACGGCGCGGTGCATCCCATCCCACTGTACGATGTTCATTATGCACATATGCCAACGCAACAACCGCTAACCAGACCGTAATTATCATAATACACTAATGTATTCAACTACCAGGAAAACCTTGGCGTTGATTGGTCAATATTGCAACGTTAATATCACGTGTATTTTGCCCAGGAGATACAACAGAATGGAGATACAACGTTGTTGCACTGACACGACGATATCACCTCAGCTCCTTAGGGAGTATACAGCTAGATGCAACCTGTTAGGTGCAAGGAAGCTAATTCAATCACACTATCCATCTCTGCCCTCACAGGTACCCATTTACTGCTGGGTGGAGAGAAGCACATGCACCATGACCCCAGGCTGGACTCAAACCCACAACCTGCAGCTTTACCAGCAGACAACGAATCCAATGCCCTTAACCACAAGGCCACAGCACTCCACTGTCAGTGAGAAACAGGCGTCCCCTACCTGCAGATAAGATTTCAGACTCGAGTCTCCCCAGATCTTTGCCCAGGTGCTTGACGTCCGCCTTGGTTCCCTCCAGCTGGGACCTCAACCCCCTCTGCCTCTCCAATAACTCTGCCCTCTCCTGGGAGTACTTGGTGTCTCCTTTGTACTTCACTTTGCACCTGCTCCCTGATCTGTGCCGGGCTTGGCTGAGAAAGGTTTCCATTTGTCAAGGCAAATTTTGAAAGTACACAACCCATCATTGCAAAACGAGCCTAGAGCTGGTGACAGGTTACGTGATACAATAGTGGAATTAGACATAAACACTGCTTGGACAATGATCATCAAGCACAATAATGACACAGCAGTTAAATAATGATGCAGCAATTTTGACGTATCACATGCGGTTCAAATGCACGAGTTCCTTCCTTCCTTGAAAGTGCAGTCTCATATGTATGAGGATAAACGCACTTGCCAGAAACACCAGGGCAAACCCCTTCTCTTAGCGATAAGTGTTACTGGGTTCTTTTACGTGAATTGCATTACACAACACACGGGACCTATGGCATTACGTCCAATCCGAAGGACGCAGCAATAATGGTTAAGTGCCTTGCTTAAGGGCACAAGTGTCCGCCTGGCGGGCTCGAACCCACACCACTGTTGCCTCTGAAACACCAGAGCATGAGCCCTGTGCTCTTGACCGCTAGGCCGTGACACTCCAGTTAACGAAACAAAATTGGTTTTGGTACACATTAATGGTCAGTTAATCAACCCTAACCCTGCTAGACGCAACACAGTGCATCAGGTGGAAAAGTCTGGTGCCCTTGATGCATTCAGCTATCAACACCAGTGCATAAACGGCCGCTTCTGAGACAATGAGAGCTGGTCCCATGGAACAATGCCACACTTGTATCCTGCTGCGTGCAGTGACCACAGACTCTGAGGCAGTTTGGCCTTGAGACTTTTGGCCTGATGGATCTTGCTTCACTGGGCAGGCTTGACATAGACAAATATTGCATGTTGCTGCACTTGGCAGGGTTTCTAGTCAAAACAT